TAATAGTGTTTCTACTAATGCGTATGCAAATGAATGTGAATCATTTCTCATCTCTGCACTGTGTTTGGTTTTTGGGAAAGGTGGCCTGAAAGTGTGTATTCTCTTGTTCCTTTTTAAAATTGGACTTCCTGACACATATTTTAAGTGATGTTAACATTCTCTCCATGTAAATGGGAAGGGATCTCAGTAACTAAAAAAAAAAAAAAAAGAATAGAAGGAAATTTTCTGCCAACTTATCTATTGCAGGGAAGCAAAATACAGACAAGAGTTGGATTGTTAATGTTGCTCTGTACCTGGTTAAGCAACTGTCCCATTGCAGTGACACATTTCCTTCACAATACAGCCAATGTTCCATTTGTATCCTTTGTGTTTTAATAACACACATGTAAGCGTTGTCTTATACCTTTTCAGTTTCTTCTTAATTAGAAATACTTCCAGGCCCACAATGTTTGAATTCTCTGCCATATTCTCTGGGTTGCAGCTTTTATACTGTTATAGTTATCATGATATTCACTTAAGCACCATGTGGGAGAAAGATGCTGGCTTGGAATTCATACAGAATTTATTATAAGAAATATTACACAAAATATATGTTCCATTCAGATTGCAAAATGAAATATTCCAGATGTTTTGAACATTTGCTTCCTTAACAAAGATTTCAGCTTACAGGACAGATTGCAGAAAATCTTGGGGAAGAAGAGCATTTGGTGCAAGGCTTATGTGCCCTTCTGCTGGGCATTTCAATATACTTCAATGATAACTCACTTGAGACCTACCTAAAGTAAGTAAGGACAGAATGACTAGTGGCATCTGGAGGTGACACGTTTTCTCTGCTGTGGAACAGTGAGGATTTTGTGGTGGTGTCTTTTTAACCATCTCAATATGTTTATCTTTAGAGAGAAACTAAAGCAACTAATAGAGAAGAGGATTGGCAAAGAAAATTTCATAGAGAAGCTAGGATTTATTAGCAAACATGAGCTATATTCCCGAGCATCACAGAAACCCCAGCCAAACTTTCCTAGTCCAGAATATATGATATTTGATCATGAATTCACAAAGCTGGTGAAAGAACTTGAAGGTAAGGCGAGAAGGTTCATGCTAATACTCATTAGAAAATAACTGTGGCTCCGGGTACACAGGGATTCTCTCATAAGCCTAATCATAGATTTTTTTTTCCTTTCTATTTCTCAATCTGTAGCCCCATGAAAAACCTTTGGATTTCTGTAAGGTTGTAAGGAGTATTGCTTACCTGTGATGGAGTAAGGCTAGCTGTTTTTACTGATTAAGTCTTAATAATAAAATAGAATTTAAAATGTTTCAAACACAGCTTGGAGATAGCTCAGTGGCAGAGCACGTGCTTAGCAGGCTCGATGCATTGGGTTTGACCTCAGCACCACAAAAACAAGCAGAAGTTTAAAACAAATTTTGAGTAAGCTTTCTTTTACAGGTGTTATAACTAAGGCTATTTACAAGTCCAGTGAGGAAGATAAAAAAGAGGAAGAGGTAAAGAAAACATTAGAACAGCATGACAACATCGTGACTCACTACAAAAATATGATTCGAGAGCAAGTAAGTACTAAGGAATTATACTCTTATTGATAGGTGCTTATTTAAGGAAAAGCTTTTGATTGCATTTTAAATGAAAGAGGGTACAGAAAGCAAAACTGTTTTCAAAAACATCAGATTTATTACTTAATATGTGCAAGTGCCATGCAGGATGTCATGGATAAGAACAGCCACAGTCCAGTATCGTTCCCAGGAGAGACAACCCTGTAAATAAATGATTGTAGCATAATAGGTGTGATTGAAAAAGATGGTGAATGCTTGTTTTACAATGTGTTACAGTAAAAGACACATTGTCATTAATCTTCTCAAAGTCCTCCCCCTCACTTCATCCTTAGCCCATCATTCTTACTTCATTCTGAAGCAGTTCTGGAAGTCCTCTTTCATGTCTTTAGTTGCACTGTTGTGGCTGCTTCAGTATCCTGAATCAATTCAAACATTTCCCTTTCTTGGTCATTTTGACTTTGAGGAAGAGCCAGAAGTTACATGGTATCGGACCCAGTAAATGAGATAGATGAAGACATACTGTCATGTTTTCATGAGCCTGCCTTTCTGTTGCATAATACTTAGCAGCAGCAGTCACTATAGTTTTGATCAAACCTTGTAAAGATACAAAAGAGGAACTCCAGGACTACTTTAGAAAGTGGCAGGAAAGATGGGATAAGTGGGGTTTAAGCAGGGGACAGGATTTTGAAGGGAATGAATGGCAGTGTGGCTTTTATTGTAATTTTTTAAAAATTTAGGCACTCACCATACAGTTCAGTCACCTCGTATATATTATAACAGAGTAAGTCCAGTGATGGTGATACCCAAGGTTGTGGCAGCACTGAGAGGAAGATACCTGGTTTAGTTAGGTAGGAGCAGGGGCTTACAGAAAATACAAACAGTCCTGAAAGGATGAGTGGGGATAAAGTGCTAAGGACAAGAGGTCAAGAGAACAAACAGCATGAGTCCAGCAGTGGTGCTGTTGGCAGGTACATGGGGAGCTCTGTTGCCTGGGCAAGGGAAGGGACTTGAGGGGTGAGGCTAGAGCATGGAACCCCCACCAAGGCATTGTGGTGGGGAGGAGGTGGATATTTGGCACTGATGGTAACCAGAATGGTGATGATTGTGGCTCCTCACTTTAGTTTATTGTGTTCTGCAAGTTTATTCAGCACATTTTAATCACTATATCATTTAATTTTACCCCTTACAATATAGTTAATACCTTCAGTTTAGGATAAATGGAGAGCATGAGACTTAGAATTTAAGCTTCCTTGGGACTCTCAGAAACTGAAGCAGATTTCATATCTATGTGTGTTGGGGAGACTGAAAGCTCATACTAGGTGGTGTGCAGGGGTCACACTTCGGAAGTGTGGAGGCTAAAGACTGTAGAATTTGGAGGACTTGGTCATGTTTGGATGCAGGTATAAAAGTGCAGAAAGGGCCAGGTCAGACCCTTAGATTTTCACCTTGGGTGACTGAATAGATGATACTCGGTTAGATTGTTCAAGAGAAGGAATTGATAAGGAGGAGTAATAAGTTAAGTTGAAGCAACGTGCTCAAAATCCTCAGCTGATGCCATTCTTTTTAGGGTACTCATGAACTTCCCCTGCTTGCAGTGTATCGAGCCCCTTAAACCTTCCATTACATTCCTCTAAATTGTGTTTCTTGGGTTTTGCTCTCATGTAATTTTTTTTCTTTTGCCTGGTACTAGGAACTGAACTCTGAACTCTCAGGGCCTTCACATTGCACTTCTTTTTATTTGTTTAAATTTTGAGATAGTCTCAGTAGATTGCTGAGTTGCCCTGGTTGGGCTCAAACTTGAGATCCTCCTACCTTGGTGTCCCAGCGTGATGGGATTACAGGTGTGCACCGCCACACTGGATAATTTCTTATGGTACATATCTTAATTATAACTCCAGAAAATATAGTATTATCTGGAAAATGCGGTTGTTGATGTCATTAAAATTCCCATATCATAAAAATACACACAGGGCAAATCCACATGGAGCAGGTGCACTCCATCCCTGTGTGTCATTTCCTTCCCTACAATCTGTATTATTGAGATTAAATTTGAAGAAAGAATAGAAGCATTTTACATGTAGCATTCAACCTCAGTTTTTCATTTTATAAACAAATTAATAAGCTAGAATCATCTTTGACTTGTCAAAATTTGAATTATCCAACTACCCATGTTTGTTGGTCTATGTCTTAGTACAAATGTGGAGTCATTTCCAGTGGATAAATGCGGTATGTTTGGAGCCATGGAAAGTAAATACTATATGAGATGTGATATGTTACATATTAGGCTAATAAGTACACTTGATTTAGAAAAAGAAAAGCGTGATTTGATTTGACATAATTACTATAATGACTTTAAAAGTGTTGAGTTTGGGCCAGTGGCCTGCCTTGCAAGTGCAAGGACCTGAGTTCAATCCCCGGTACCAAAAAAAAAACCAAAAAAGTGTCAAGTTTGTATATTCTTGCCATTTAAAATGCTACTTGGCATTAGGCTACAAGCATTTAGAGCTATAGAATGTTTGTATACTTTGAATGACATTTGAGAATTCATCCTAATGAAATCATCCAAAATTTCAGGAAAGCATATGGATTAAGATATTTATTATAATGCTACTAATCATTTTGAAAAATAGAAAGTAACTTCAAGGTTAAAAATATTTAACATGGTTTACATTGTTCTACTTGATCAGATATAAGTGAGCATTAAAAGTCATGATCATAGAAACTACTCCTTGGTAGTATGGAAAACTTATAACCAGAATAGTAAGTAAATTAAATATAAACACATATATGGACTGATTATGACAAATTTAAAAAACATGGATTGGAAAAAATTAGAAGGAAATAAAAGGCATCAAATTTTAATTGTTGTATTGCAGTGGTAAAAATTTGAAGCATTTTCTTCAACCTTTTAAATGTTCTGTGATTGTCTTTTAGTGTTAAAAATAATATTGATGCTTGGCAAGCGTGAGGTCCTGAGTTCAATCTCTGGTACCAAAAAAAAAAAAAATGCATGGATGCCTATACTAAGTTTCTTAGTAGCTGGGTATGAATTTCTTAAATGGTTGATGCTCATAAAATGGAGGTTTTCTCTGATCTCCCCTGTGACTACAGTGAGGCCATAGGCTATCTGCCATAGTATTATTAATGAAATCTCTCAGTTCTCCTGCATATTGATTGGTTTTGATGAATGTATTCCTGCCTAATTATTGAATTTGGAAGTGATGAGTGCTTCTGCACACTGACCCCTAATAACTTTGATATTTTTAATTATTTATCTACTTAATACCATTTACTGTGAACTTAAAATATTTGTATTTTATTTCACAGGATCTACAACTAGAGGAATTAAAGCACCAGGTTTCTACATTAAAATGTCAAAATGAACAGTTGCAGACAGCAGTCACACAGCAAGCATCTCAGATTCAGCAGCAGAAGGATCAGTACAATCTTCTGAAAGTCCAGCGGGGTAAGTTTCACTAGCCACCAGCACTGTCATGCCCAGTCACTCACCTGAGACAAATCAAACAAATTCTTTTTGTGGACTAATTATAACAATTGTGTAAATCAGTTTAAAGCAAAACAGTTCATATGTACATGAACCAACCCCATGCGGTGAATTAGTACTGCACACAATACTAAAATTGCAATAATACATAAGATCCTAATAAGATTACTGACATTGTGAAATGGGAAGAAAGGGGCTAAAGGTGTAGGGAAGATGGGATGGGTAGGGGAAGGGTAATAAGGGAAAAGAAAATGTGAGATAATGAAAAGATGGAAATAAAGTGTTTGTGGATGGGAGGGGAGGAGGAGGTGAAGGGAGGGCAGGGACAAGGGGAAAAAATGAGAACCAAGACTTGTCATGTAGAGGTACTAGATCCCAACAATGAATGTAACTGTACTGTATTCCTAAAATGTACCAATAAACTCAATTAAAGCTGAAAAAAATATTAATGATCTTTAAATTTGAATCCAAGCACCTTGTTTCCCATTTGACTGTCTGATCCACTGATTGTTGGCCCTGGCCAAGACCCCACCTGAGCTTCTAACTTAATTAGTCTGGGGTTGGTGTGGGCATTCCTGGTGATTATAATATGTAGCTAGGTGACAGTGATCTAATCTTTCAATTTCCTCATCTGCACAATGGAGATAGTATCATCCATGTCATCTGAGAATTAAATGAAATAATATATATAAATTCTAGTGCCAGCCCTGGCAAATAGTCAGTAAACTATCATATTGTAGAGCTGATAATGATTGGAATATTGTTTACTTAGAAGTATGTTTAATTCATATGAGGGTGACTATTCTTTTTCTTCCCTTATGGCAGTAATTTATCAATTACTTCAGCACAAGCCTACTTTATAAAGGAATTTTACTTTCTCTTACAATTATTGAGAGAACTGGAATTGAAACTACTATAGTTAGGACTGGGGATTTAGCTCAGCGGTTCGGTGGCCTGCCTTGTAAGCGCAAGGACCCGAGTTCAATCCCCACTACTCCCCCCCAAAAAAAAACTACTATAGTTAATAGTAGAGGGCTGGGGATTTAGCTTAGTGATACCATCTGAATTGCAAGCACAAGGTCCTGAGTTCAACTCCTAGTACCAAAATAATAATAATAATAATAATTGTAGGACACCAGCCACCCAATTTAGCTAAGACCATGCTGGAAACTTACTAAAAAAAATAAAACAAATAATCAGTAATTTTTTTTTAAATGCTGGAAACTGCGTCAGTTCTCTGTTTTATTGAAACGGTGTTCTGCAAAGATGAAACATGATTGCAAAAATGCCTCCAAAGTAATTGAGGTAGCAAGGATATATTTGAATCTTACATTTATATTAATATTTAAGTTTTCTAGTTCAAAAATTTAAATTTAAATTTGATGCTAGCTTTCCAAATTTCCTGCATCTTTCATAGGAAAAGACAGTCAGCATCAAGTTTCTTCTAATGACGGGTCTCAGGTGAATGGTGTTCAGCCAGAAGAAATTAGTAGATTGAGAGAAGAGATAGAAGAATTAAAAAGTAATCAGCAACTTTTACAAAGCCAGCTGGCTGAAAAGGACTCTTTGATTGAAAATTTGGTAAGTAAATGCTTAAAAATTTAAATAAAGAGATCAAGAGTAATTCTTATTGTCTTGTTTTTCTGTTATATTTTTGTTGGGTTGTTCTGGGGATGCTGATTGTTGAAGCCCAGGCCCTGTGCATGCTGAGTGAGCTCTGCCTCTGGGCTACGTGCCAAGTCCTGTTGTACTGGTGCATGCAAGCCAGTAAAGCACTGATTAAATATTCAAGTATGAGCTTTGGAGTTAGCCTGTGTAAACTTTAATCTCTACCACTTACCTGAATTCAGACACCTTAGCAGACCTCTGTAAACTCGGTTCTTATACTGGGAGTTGGTGGTATTATCTGTCTCGTTGTGAGACTTAGCTGAGATGCTCTTTCATACATGGATATGGCTCAGAAAATACCTACTTCCTGCTTAAGTTTAATGAATTACTTAGAATAAGTGTAAATGAATTAACTCTGGAAAAGTGATAGATAATACATGCCATGTTGAAATCTTTCGTTTAAAAATTAAAATGTTGATATTAAAGAAAGTTTATGATAAGCACCCATAAAATACAGCTTAGGTGTGTAGAGTTGTGTTTTAGCATTTTCTTCTTCTCTGTAGACTGAACTTATTTCTGTCTTACCTTCAGAAGTCATCTCAGGCAGCTTCTGGTGTGCATGACCTGTCTGCAACAGCAGCTTCAGCTAGAGATGCTGAGCAGGTTGCAGAATTAAAGCAGGTAATTTTCCAGCTTGATCTGCACTCTGTTTAGTCTTGTTTTAATTACAGTAGAGCAGCAACCATACAGTTTCATTAATCTGGAACTGCTTTGTCAGGTTTGAGCTAAATTTTAATATTTAAGACAGCCATTTGGAAATCCAGAGGCTGTTTTTAATTATAGAGTAATGCTGTTTTGCCCCTCCCCGCCTTTTTTTGGTATTTCATTGGTGTTCTTTGTTTGTTTGCTTGCTTGCTTGCTTTTGAAATAGGGTTTCCTTATGCAGCCCAGGCTGGCTTTGAACTTGCGATTCTCCTTGCCTCACTCTCTTGAGTACTGGGATTACAGGCATGTGCTAATGTGCCTGGGCATTGCTATTCTTTGTAACAGTGCTCAGCATCTCACTGAGATTATCTATAGATTACTGTGAAAAACAGGGAGACTATATACAATAAGTCCCCAACTTAAGAACAAGTTCCATTCCAGAAGAACAGTCATAAGTTGGATGTATTTGTAAGTCTGACAAAGTAAATCTTATCTTTGACACAAATATACAATGTATATTGCTTTGCTCTTCCTCAAAGTCCCTTCCTCCTACTTCTGTACATCCTGGGGTCTGACTGAGCACTGTACTGCTGTACACTGTTGCACTGTACAGTGAGCACACAGCAGCACAGCTGTGACAATGTCTGGAAAACACATGAGCTACTTCCATGATTTGTTCACATCTTTGAATGTTTGTAATGGAAGGTCTGTTTGGATCTGTGAAAGTTTAGTACTCAAATATTCATAAGTTAGAGACTTAACTGTATTTATAAGATGCAAATGCAAAGATATAAATCTTGTGCCATATATATTTTTTTTTTCTTTTTTTGGTACTGGGGATTGAACTCAGGGCGAGGGCAGGCGTGGTGTAATTTTTATATACTTTTGACTAAGATAATTGCTCGACCAAATATATTTAAATTTTTCTATCCAGAAAATTGTTGAATTTTAGAATTGGAAAAGGGTAAACTTGTATGATTCTCAGTTGGGTGACTGCAGTTGAAAAGCAAAATAAACTTTTCATGCTCAGTTAATTTATATATTGATAAATTTCTGTTAAACTGGATAGTACAAATTTATCTTTATCCTTGAGAAAATTAAGTATATTTATTCAAAAACAGAACCAGCAAATAGAGAAAGGAACTCTTTTGATGTAGAATTAAATAATGTACTAATTGGAAGTAAAGCCTAGAAAAGTATCCAATTGTTTAATATGTTATCCCTGAACAGGTTCTAATTTATGTTTTTTAAATTTTTTTCCTTTTTTTTTGTTGTCTTCCCCTCTTTCCTTATTATAATAGCAATGCATATTTATTTAAAGGGAGAAGTTTTTCCAAACAGTATGAATGCAACCCACCCAGGCCTGGCTTTTTTCTGCTTCTCCTTGTTGGCTGCCCCAGTGAGACGCCAGGGCTGGGCAGAGAAATTGTGCCTTCATTCATTCATTCATTCATTTTTTAATAGTAGCAAAGGTTATTTGAAAAAGTAGAAAGTGAAGTGTGAGGGAGAAACTGGCTCTTCAGAGTAAGTGGGCCAAGTAAAAGATGAAAAAGTGAGATAAAAATATACCATGGACACAAGGCAGGATATTTTGAGGAGAGCCATAATAGCAAGCTCTTCCTGGTGTCTGTGTGCTTTTATGCCATCCAAATCTCAAGGAAACCCATGAGAATGTCCACATACAGGTCTTGAGAGGCAGTGCTTGGATCCCGTGCTTCAGGGTGATGTCAGCACTAAGCCATTCTATGGAAAAACCTGCTTGAGTTCTAGCAAGAAATCCATGTTCTAGGCTTTGGGAACTGTTCTTGTGCATGTGTTCTGGGATTTTGTAATTAACAGGTCACATGTACTTCCTCACCAGCTTTGCCACACCTCATTCTCCCTACCAAAACAGAAATCCCAATTGTTTATGAGGTGCTGAGGGAGTAAAAGTTTCTGACTTTGATAGCTTCTTCAGACTAGAAGGGGTTGTAGACCCTACTTACAGGGAATAATGTGTCCAACCATGTTGGGGTGCTGTGGCTCATAGGCTGGGTTGTGAAGAAAGGAAAATCTGTCCAAAAAACAAGAAAAGAATTAATGACATCAGGCTGCCTGTTTTATGGGAGAAAGGAACTTCACTATTAGCCCAAATATGAGGAGCAGGTCAGATTTCCATGCTTACTATAGCAGCACTAAAGTTTTGCTTTTTGAAAAGAAATCTCAGGTCTTCTAGAGTATCACAGAAGTTGTTTTTCCCTTTTGGATGATCTTATTCTTCAGATAGGTCAGGTGGAACTGGCTATATTCCAGAAAAATGAATCCACTTATCTATCCCTGCCATCTTTACTGCAGTATGTGTGGCAAGAGCCACTGAGAAGGGGCCTTCCTTTTTGGCTTTAATTGATTAGTGATCTTTGTGATGGACAGTAGGTGGTCCCCCCAGGCCAGGAGCTGACAGGACTCTGTTACCCTGCATTTGGTCAGCTTGGTGTACTTGGCCCCAGTTAAAGATATACTCTAAGATCCTTGTGGTTTCTGAATCCTCCTGTCATATCAGAGGACAGAATGACCTCCCATATAACATTTCAAATGGGCTCAGACTTAGCCCAGTTTGGGGCATGTTACAGACCCTCATGAGTGCTGTTTATAGCAATTGGAGCTGGGACTCAGATGTCTCTTGGCAGAGTTTTGCTAGAGCTTACTTTAGGGTCTGGTTGGCTTTCTCTACCTTTCCAGAAGATTGAGGCCTCCAGGAGGACTGGAGGTGGTAATTTATTCCTAAAGCATCTGCCACCTTGAGTTATTTGAGAGGTAAAAGGAGGTCCATTTTCATTCTGGAGAGATTAGAGTATTCCAAATCTGGGGATAATTTCTCTAAGAAGCACCTTGACTACCCTCATAGCCTTTTCTGTGTGGGTAGGAAAGGCTTCAATCCAGTCTATAAAGGTGTTGACCAGAACCAACCTCTGTTTAAATGCTCCATGTGGTGGCATATGGATAAAGTCTAATTGCCAGTCTTCCTCAAGGTTTGTTCCTCCCCTATGTACAGGTTCTAATAAAGGAGATGGTGGGCTTGCCCATGTGATTTAGTCACAGAGCAGGCAAGCTTTGCAGGCCTTTTGGGTGGTTGTTGCTAGTCCTAGTCCTGTGAAAACTTGAGTGACTATTTCCAGTGTAGCATCTTTTTCCATATAGAAGGAATCATGAAGTGTTTGTATAGCATTCCAGTGTGTCCTTTGAGAAAGGACCAGATTGTTTTCTAAATACCTCGAGTCCTTTTTTAGTTCCTCCTTATCCTGACGCCGACTTATCTTCTTGGGGAATATAGACTGGTTTTAATTCATCCTTGGAAACTGGGAATAAGGCTAGTCTTAAGGGGCTGAAGGCTGTCTTTTATGCATCCCTGTCAACCTTTTGATTTCCCAAGGAGACTTCAGACATGTGTCTCTTTGGTGCCTTTTACAGTGCATAACTGACCTTCCAGGGAAGGTAGACTGCCTCTAGGAGTCATGGAATTTTCTGCCTGTGTTTTATAGATGATTGACAAAGCTACTTCATCAGTGAACCACCAGACCTCAGGATCACGGAGGGGCAGGTCACTGATGTCTGCGTGCATCACTTGTTCACAAGAGTGACTAACTTCTGTATAGGCATCAAAGAAGCAGAGTTAATAGTAGTGCAAGTTTTTATATTATCCTCACATATGTCTAAGAGCATGGCCTGATAGGAGCAAGAGCCATTCCCAGTTAACCACAAGTAACCTTTTGCCTCCAGAGTAGCTCAGATCTGTCGGGAGTCAGGACTTCTAGTCTCTGAACCAGAGTTACTGCAGCTTCTTCTGTTAGAACAGCTGAAGAGAATCTCTGACTAGAGGTCCCCTTGACCCCAACTATAGCTGTAGATCTAGAGGGTTTTCTAAAGAACAAAGAACAGAATAAAGTAATTGAATTGACTCACAGTTGATGTCCAAGTATCCAGGGTCCCTGTCTGTGGACAGGGACATTGTGTGTTTCCCTGAGCCACATCAGTTGCCAGAGCAGGAAATGAGGCTTCTGGTTGGCCTGGCCCCTCCCTCTGTGAGTGGGGATAGTCCACCCTCCTGTGCCACGAGTCAGGCACATTAGCTGCCCCCATTTGGAACAGGGCCCAGGCAGTGGCTTAGTGAAGTCATGTGCCTAGTTTGCAGTCTTCTCCTTGAAATAGGAACCTCAGTTGTCCTTGGGTTTTTCCTAGATGACGTGGGTGGGCTTAAACCATTGCCAGTTGCAACAACTATAATGCTAGCCTTTTCTTTTGTCCTTCGTCTGGGTCTGTCTTGTTGAACATAGAAAAGGCTGTGTCCGACAGTTGGGCCTTAGGTGTCTGTGGGCCATATGAAGTTTTTGTAGCTTACACTGAATATCTGGGGCTGACTGACAGATAAATGACGATCCCACTAGTGCTTCTCCCTCCTTGGAAGATGGATCTATATTAGTATATTTACAAAAGACACAATAGTCCTTTTCATTTCCCTGGTAAGAGCACTTGCATGTCAGACATCATTCTTAGTCCCCCACTAATGTTACAGTCCTTGTTTGGTTTTGTTGAAGGGAGGATAACCTTTCCAGGGTGGTTTCCTCCTTTTAAAGCACATTGCTCATTTGCATAGTTCCTAGCCTTTTATACATCTATCTGAAAAGGGGCCTGATTTATTGGGCTGGGGATTGTAAGGAGGAGATGGAGGAGACCCCTCAATCTCATCAAACAGGTCAGAGAGCCCCACATACCCCTGAGAGACAAGTGGAGATCTTAGGAGGGGGTCGTCCCAGAATGTCTTTCTCCTCAGGGGCCACTCTAAACACCATAGTTCCCGAGCATTCTCTTTGATAGAGTCACAAAAGCCTGAATATAATGCCTTTTATTTCACCTTAGTGTGTCTTTTTGTTTGTTTTTGGTTTGTTTGTATTTTTTTTTTTTTTGTTTTTGGTTTGTTTGTTTTTTTTTTTTTTTTTTGGTACTGGGGATCAAACTCAGGTCCTTGCACTTGCGAGGCAGGTGGCGGAACCACTGAGCTATATCTCCAGCCCCAATCTTAGTGTGTTTTAAACAGAAATGCTGTATCTGAAGAATAGTCTCATAGTTTAAAGTACCTCCCTCTTGTTTTCCAAAATCAGAGGCTTAGTTTATAAGGCCAGTTAATTTTTTAAAAAGGAAGGAAGGAAAGGAGGGAAAGGAAAGAAAAAGATGGCTGCAGTTGACATAAGCCTACATCTAGCAGCATGATGCCATGCAGCCTCTAAGCTTATATCAGTGCCATCCACACCTATGGTGGGGCACTCTTAATCCTCGCACCAAAACACAAACCAAGACAAAAGTCATTTGTAAAACTAGGTAAGAGGAGACCAGGTTAATTTCCAAAAAGGAGTTGCCAACAGATGTGTAATCAGCAAGGCATCTCACAAGAAAGAAGGGAAAAAAGCAAAAACAAAGTGGCTAGAAGAAAAACAAAAGCTGTACATTCTCTTACCCCACCCCAACCCACAGCCAGAAAGGCAGCAGACCATAAGAGTCCCCTAAATGCCTTCTATAGGAGAGAGAGAGGAAAAGAAGAAGAAAAAATCCTTTGCATCATTTTAGAGAAAAACAAAAAGTGCACCCATTGGGCCTTACCTGGTTTCTTCCTGGCTGACTATGCCAAATGATGTTACTGAGCTGCTCCTTCTAAAAGTGGCTCTCCAATTAAACGTTACTAGGTTTTGTGGTGCTCACATCTCCTTCTGGACTTGGTTTATAAGTTTTTCTTGTCTCAAATAATTGAATCAAATGAGCAAAAAATTTATTTGAGTCCATGTTTTTTTGTTGTTGTTGTTGGTGGTGGTTTTTTTTTTGGTACTGGGGATTGAACTCAAGTCCTTGTGCTTGCAAGGCAGGTGGCAGAACAACTGAGCCAAATCCCTGACCCTTAGCCAGACTTATTTGAAAAGGTAAGTGAGCAATGAGGAAAAAACTGACTCTGCAGAGTGTACTTGGGCAGAGTAAAAGAAGGAAAAGCAAGATAAAAGTACATCCTGCGGGGGCAGGGGCATTAGCTCAGTGGTTCCGCTGCCTGTTTCGTAAGCACAAGGACTGGAGTTCGATCCCCAATACCAAAAAAAGAAAAAAACAAAAAAACAAAAAACATACACCCTGGGGGACACAGGGTAGGCCATCGTGAGGAAGGTGTCTTGCTTTACATCCTAATGTTGGACTTCCTCCACCTTCAGATCACTTGTCATTAAGAATTTTCAGGTTTCCAGCAAGACTGCAGTGTTTTATTTGCATGGAGAAGATAATATGCTACAGTGGCACCTCTTACTCCACAAACTAATTCTTTCCACGATTCTGGTTGCAAACTGAGTTGAGTGAGAACCGAATCAAATTTCCCCATAAAGTCAACATTGAACTTAACTATTCAGTTTGATTTGGTTCTTGTCCAGTTTGGTTTGTCACTAGACTCATTGAAAAAATTAAGTTTGTGAACCGAGGTACCATTGTATATTGGTTGCATTTACGTCTGCCTACGTAAGAACTGTATCACAACCACGGGCAACAGCTCCCTTCTTTGAGGGCAACAGCCCTCACCAGATCACTTTGGTGTCCGTATTTCTCCCCCGAATCTCTTTGAGACGATTTAGGCTTTCTTTTACACCCTCCTCAATCAAGACTGTTTTGGCTGCTACTCATTGCCCATTCTGAGCCACTTCCCCATGCGCAGGTCTGTGTTGCCCAGACATCATTTTGCAGTGTGTTGAGAAGGGTTGGGGAAGCCTGAAAACTTCCCTACCACCTCCCTCTGCAGTATGTAAGAAAAAACTTGCATTGTGCCAGTTAGTGGCATTTGGCTCAATTTCTCTGGCTGGCTGGCTGAGGTGGTAATGTGAACTTGACCGAAGGAACTGGTGCTGTGTTGCCAGCATGGCAGGGCTGCTTTGCCTGCGATTAGGATTTTGTCCTTCACTGCTGTGCCTGATCCCTGCCTGGCAGCTGCAACTTTGTTTTCTTTTCTCTTATTGGAATAGAATTTCAGAGCAGCAAGAAGATTGAATCACCACTCTGAGAGTTCTACTGTCTGTGACTTTTAAAAATAATTTTTTTTCCAATTTCTCCTCTCAGGCAAAATCGGTTCCTGTCCAAGGAGAAAGTGAGAATGTAACGGCTGCTAGCACTGATGTGGAAGGGAGACTGTCAGCCTTACTGCAGGAGACGAAGGAGCTGCAGGTTGGCTCTCCACGAAACTTTACTATTGGATGTAATAGGAGATGAGCTTCAGGAAATCTGATTGTGTTGCATTCCATCTCCTAGATCGTGGGTTTATGAAGAATGCTGATGGGTGTCATTTTATTTTACTGCATTTCCATTCATATTTTGATATTTAAAGATGGTACAAAGGAAGTTTTTATTTTTTGGTTTTTTTGAGACAGGGTCTCTATGTAGTTCAGGATGGCCTTGAACTCTCAGCCATCATCTTGCCTCAGCCTCCCCTAAGTAAGTGCTACAATTGTTAAGTGTGCACTGCACACCTTGTTTACAAAGAAAGTTTTAAAATGCTATGGTATTTCAAATTGATTATATAAAATAAAAACTTAATAGTTATGGATTGTGAAAGTAAAATGTATTGAAATTTAAACTTTTATCAACATCAATATTTAATCACAATAACAAAACAAGGGATACAGTTTTGCCAAATATATGAACCGTGGATAGGCATCCCATAAGGCTGAGGAATACAGGGACATTGAAGTCTGCTGGTCTGTTGTACAGCGGAGACTTCAGAATAAATAATATGAAGAAAGGAATATGGTGACATTAATAAAAAATAAAAGGGATGAAGAAAGTATGGAAAAAGGAAGATAACATGTAATGATGTTTTGGGGTCATGGTGAGCTTATTTGGTTGTGATACTGGGGATTGAATCCAGAGCTTTCTCACTAAGCCAACCCCTTTTGCCTAGTCTGGACTCAAATCTGTAATTGTCTTGCCTTAGTTCCCAGAGTTCCCAGAGTATTGGGATTATAGGCCATGTTCAACTAGAGATTATTTTAGTATTGAACTGTGAATTTTTATTTGAAATTTTCTTTTTCCCCCACAATGCTGGGGATCAAACCCAGGACCTCAAACATGCGGGCACTCACTCTACCACTAAGCTGTTCCTACCACCCTTAAATTTATTCTTTTCTCTATTATATGAATGAACTTGGTACTTTTTTGTTTAAATTTGAGCTTTGAGTTCTAATTCCCACACTAACCAGGCTCCATGTGTGACATGTTCTTTGGGAATCCTACATGTGCCTGTGTATTGGCCAAATTTGAATTCCTCTGTTAATCTGAATTGGTATTGCTTTTTTACCTCTTGAGATTTTTTTGAGGACTAGCTGACTGAAACTGATTTTTGAATGAGCTCTACTTTTGACATAACCACCCTTAATGAGTGTGTTGAAGTCTTGCATTCTTGGGTGTATTGGCATAGTAAGCTTCATCTCCTTGCAGCACCTGTGCCTTGAGTGCCTCAGATCAGACAAGCGCAGTCATCTGTCATGGAAGAAAAGCTTGTTAAAAACTTTAGAAAAGTGAGGGCTGCTGTCACATGTTGAGTTTTCTTTTTCTAGAATGAAATTAAAATTTTGTCTGAGGAAAGAACTGCTCTTAAGGAGCAGCTGGATTCCTCTAACAGCACCATTGCCATTTTACAAAATGAGAAAGACAAGCTGGAGTTGGAAATTACAGATTCTAAAAAAGAGCAAGATGATCTCCTGGTGCTGTTGGCTGATCAAGACCAGAAAATACTGTCACTGAAGAAAAAGCTCAAGGATCTTGGTCATTCAGTAAGCTTGAAATGTTTTCAGAAGTAATGTGTGTTCTGTTTCTTTGTAAGCCATTTTAAAAAATGTTAATGTAGCATGGAAAAGTCAAATCTGTATTACAGGTACAGTTATGTAGGCTTGTGAATATAACATCTACATTGCTTTCACTGATGAGTGAATTGATTCAAGATACAGATTAAATTCAGTTTCCAACACTTGCAAACTGTGCTTTTGGACCTTGAGCCTAGAAAATGAATTGATTGCTCCTGTCAT